TGTCATTCTGTGCGAGCTCGTTGATGGCTGTTCTACTTCTCGTGAGTCTGTTGGAAGAGTCGGTGCTGCTCCAAACTACACTATTTGGTCATGAATTGCTGTGGTATTTGACCATTTCGACGGGTGTGTTCGCGTTATCGCGTTCCTTTACGACGTCTGCGTCTCCGTTCCTGGTCAACGGGGATTGTGAAGAAGCGATGATGCAGGTCTCTGCTGAAACGCACTACTTTCCGAAGGAATGGCGGGGCCAGTGTCATTCGTTCGAGGTGCGAGACGCGTTCACGGTACTGTTCCCTTACAAAGCCGTGCTTTTCGCGGAGGAATGCGTGTCGGTCTTGTTGGCTCCGTATATCTTGTGTGTCTCGCTTCCACGACTTGCCCGCGAGATCTTGCTCTTCCTGCGGTCACATTCGCTCGTGCATCCTAGTACTGGAGCTGTTTGCCGGTTCGCGGAGTTCGACTTTAAGGAGTACGGTAACGACGCCAAGATGGAGAGCTCGTTTATTAACTTCAAGCAGAACCACCCGAAATGGGTCGGTGCTCGTGAAGGAGAGGCACTTATGCAACGTCTGGGCAAGCTGAAGGAAGAAGAGATGGAGAAGTCGATGAGGATGGGAGACACTATGATGTACAGCAGCCACATGTCGATGTCGCAGCAGCTTATGCAGTCTCAAGCTATCCAGAACGCGATGGGTGGCGGACGTATGAGCGGATACATGCCGCAGGACAACGAGTTCTACTGGTTGGAGAAGGTATGCCACGTCTGATTGGTAGCTGGTGATTGGTGTACTTACGCTTATGTTGTGTTTGTATTCTTTAGCTGCATCAGCAAGGCAGGCTGGGCGAATTGGATCTGGAAGGCATGAAAGGCAACCCTGCTGACAGTATTTCTATCTCGAGTCTTGGCTCTCCGTGAAGTGCCAGACAAGTAAAGTATATTCATGTTTGCATTGCAATAATGGAATGACGTGCATGGCACACACGAAAAAATCTTCCTGCTTGCTTTCGCACAGGTTTGAACTTGATTTAGTATCGGTTACGAGCATTGAAGCAGGGTGTCGAACAAACGGTATCGAACAGCAGTTCCTGGGCAGACAGACCGCCCAGATGGCAACGACACGGAGTATGACTTGATACACCAATGGAAGGCGTTGGATGCTTTCAACAGAGCAGCGAAGCGCTTTTCCAGCAACGTTTTGGAGCTTGTACTACTGCTGAGATCACATGGAGGGATGCCGTGAAGAAAATGTTCCTATGAGCAGAAAGACAAGCAGGTTTAGCACTGTCACATCTGTTGCTGTAGGTGCTGACTTACCGCGTCTTTGCCGTACACAATTATGCTCAAGGACTCGCTTCCTTCTTCGACAGTCAACGCGAACGAATAAATGAATTCGTCACTATTGCCAGACTTGGGTTTGCAGATCTTTTCGATGTCGTTAGGCCAAATGCTGCGGACACGAGCCCAGCAGTGGAACTTCCGAGGGGTTTGAGGAGAACTGAGGATCTCACGCAAAGGAGTCACAGGGATATTTTTCCGGATACGATCGGGAATCACCGTGACAACTTGCTCTGGACTGACACGGTTCTCCGTTGGAGAACAAGTACGGAGCTGGTCATTGTTGGCTGTTATGCTTGAGTTCGGCGTGCCCATCAATGAACAACGTCGCCGTACGTCCAACGCGAAGTCCGGCATCAACACGAAAGACGATACCTCCCGGAACCGCAGGATTTCTCTTCCTCCAGGAGCAATTACAGCTCCGGGTATAGGCTCGTCTACTCCGACTGCCAAATTGCGAAAACGACACCAGTTCTTGAGCATTCCATCGACGAAGCACATTTCACGCACGACAAGCCAGCAGGATGACATGATCACTTCTTTGAGTAGTCCGTATGGGGGGACTGCAACGCCTTTGTCCTGTAATGCACGCACCAGAACTTGATCCGATTCCTCTGCGCTGCCTGAACCATCCCAAACTGTTAACCGTACGGGCTCGTCGCAATCATCCACATTCAGGACGCGGACCACAAGGTCAATAAATCCCTCTGCAAACTTCAATTCGGATAGAAGCTTGGGGGCAAGAGAGCATCCCTGAGGTAAAGTATCATCCTCGGCTAAACTTTTCCGTGCCCATTTCCTA